AGGGTGAGAATATGAACAAACCCATCTTCAATTGACTAGAATGCTGTTCAGTGGAGGGGGGGGGGAGTTGAAGCTTTGAATTGATTGGGGCATTAATTAAAAAACTTAAGTATTATCTGCTCAAAGGAATAGCATTGTTGAGATCAGTAAATAAGGGGAAGAAAACTTTCCTGTCCTCCTTCTTAAACACTTTAACTTGCAAAATCTGATTGTCAATTCTCCCCTCTTGCTGTGAGAAATTTCCTTGTAGACTAGTTATGAGAATTTGATGTTAGATCAAGATAACTTCTATATGGTAAGTTTGAGAATTCTCATTGCCTGTTTTCTGGACATCATATAGATATTATAGAGAGAAACTACAAATCAATCCCTTCTGGGGGTTTAGGGGTTAATATTTTGTTCTAATTCTTTCAAGAGTCAAGAAGTGAAATTGTTTTGTAACAATGTCAAAAAGATTATTTGTCAAGGACCTGATGGATATCAAAATAATGACATCTGCATAGTAGCTTTCCCTTGGCCAGTGGTTCAACAAAGAGGTTTACATTTGAGTGATTCGACAGGTTAAATTGCATAGTTTCCCATCAGAGGTAGATAGCAGACTAAAATATATCTTCAGTTGGTAAACAAAACAGGAACAGTGTAAGCTGTAAAATATGGTACAACAACGAGCACCGCCACAACAACAAGGGTTTCTAATTGATTACATGTGTAAGCAGAATTTAATACAAAAAACATCTATGCAGCCCCTACATTAAGGAATGCTTCTGGTCAAACACACTTGCAAAAGTAAGCATGCTGTAGGGTTTGCTGAGCTGTCAGTCGGTCAACATCATCTGTGTCAAGCAAGTCACCGAGAACAGCTAACAGATCTGAATCCTGCCACAACATAGAGTGAATGATGATCAGGCAGCGAATTCCTCTGTTGTGCTGTCTCTTCATGCAACACCCACTGTCTTTAGCAAGGGAGAGTGTGTGTTGCATGACCACAACAAAAATGAAAGGAATACAGGGGCAGGACCTCTTAGTTTGGAAGAAGTCTCTTTGGTGCTCCAAAGGAGTACATTTGATGGCACATCATGATTGTGGAATGATTTTTGTGATCAATATATAAAAAATTATATACACCTAACAAAATCAGTGGAATAAAGTGAGATATATAATGAAAGCATTACATCCAATTGTGAAAATATTGAATCTCAATGAATCAATGGGATGTAGAGGGCATGTTTGCCAGTGTTAAAAAATCAAGATTATTTAAAATAAAATTTACGAGTGGCTGATATTTACAAACCTCTGTCAACTGAGAGAATGTTGTTGTGAGATCCTTATTGGGAAAATTCATCTACACAGAAAATGATATAAAATTACCATTACTGTAATATTTACTCACAACAATTCTTCCATTTACTTCCAGATCTTAGAAAAACTATCCTTATCAATCCCTTAAAAAAATTTWAKKKCKA